AAATGACTCATTGTATCCCCTCATTTTCAGAAAATTCGAACAGGAATGTGGCCTATTTTAATTGGCAAAGTTTCTAGGTCATAATCAAATTCAGAGTTAGGCATCTTTGAACGAAGATGGAACCACAGAGAATTGTTTAAGTATCAGACACTGGGTTTTTTAATATTGAAAGAATTGCCCTAGATTTAATTTTATGTCACTTAAGGGGCCTCCTGCTGGGTTTCTGAACTGAAAATACTAAATGAATGTTTTGGAAGATTATTTCAAGTTTGTAATTACTAATAACACGCATCAGTAAAGCATAATGTGCTATTTATATTTTAATCTAATCATAGGCTTTGCCACTGTCTATCCACACAGCCTTTTTGTGTGCGTCTGTGTTTTCTTATTGAAAAAGGGGAAGAAAAAAAAATGGCTTGTAAGACAGAGCGAGAAAGATGTCATCTGTTGCTTTCAGAAAATTAAGCTCACTTAAAATTGAGTATTCAGAAATCCTGTTATTTTGTTTGTTGGCTTTGGTGTCTTCATTTGAAATAAAACTACCCAAAACATGATTCTTTAAAATCAAGTGAATTGGAAATCTGTAAAGTTGTTTAAAAACGCTACTCGGAGTGAGCTGGGCGCAAGAGTAGAGTAGAAGAGAGGCGGGAGCTCCATGGGTAAGGCGCTCACCCGGACCCTGCCACCAGCGCACTGCCTCTGGTGAGTGACCTGACCTTCCTGAGACTCAGATTTTCATCTGTAGATTGACCGAAGCACTCGAATTTAATTTAGAAGAACTGAGAATTAATTGACAGCACAACACTGTAAATTAGCTGCGTATGTATCCCAGCTCCATTTTCCAAAGGCTCTACCTCTTTGGGCAAGTAAGTTGAACTCTATGATCCTGTTTTCATTACCCTAAAGAAGGAATTATTGTCATAAATATTTCACACTTTTTTTAGAAAGTTAAATGGGAAACTACATATAAAACAGCACCTGCCACACAGAAGTAACGTCGACTTTTGTTGAGGGGTCCTGACTGCTGGAAAAAAACCTGTGACTTACATCTGACTAAGTGAAAGGGAAAAGGAATTGGGAAGTGATAATTTTGTGACTAGAAAAATGGTGGCAACTTCCCTTTTCCAATATCACTAATAAAGCGGGACAGATGTGACATTTCTAAGGCAGAAAGCCTCGTGACTTTGACCATTGATGACCTACCTATTTCTGCATTGTTGAGGTTTGTATTTTTATATCTGTGTGGGCAAATGAATGAATTACTTACAAAGCTTGTAAAATATACCAGGCGGCCGTTTAACAAATGCACTGAGCTCGCAGAACGCTGAGCTCTTCTGGTTTTGTCAGCTGCCAGAGGGCCGTGCAGCATGCTGCCGTGGGGGAGGCGAGGCACATGCCTGAGTTAAAGCTTAAGGAGCAGCGTACGAACAAGGGCAACTCAGTAGCCTATGAACTGAATGCCTAAGTACCGAGGGACCCTTTGGAAAGCTTTCTTCCAAGCAATAAGAGAAACTAAAAGGGCAGCAGCAATATGCGTAAAGAAAGGCAAATAGGACCAAAACTCAATCCCTGCGGAGCACTTAAGGCCAGACCAGGAAACAAGAAAACAGGGTTTGTGAATGTTTCAATTTCTTCTCCTTTTTTCAATTTTTGTTTTGGTCTCGTTTTGTTTAAAGTTCATATACAACAGTAACTTATCAGTGGGTTCTGAGCGCCATGCCCCTATCTAGAACCTCTTTGAACATTGTTAAAAATTCATTAAAACATTTAAAGTAACATTATTGAGGTATAATTTACATACAATAAGATGAATTTATTGAAAATTCCTTTCTAAAAGAATACAAGCTTCTCAAATATAAGAATAGCATTTACTTTTAAAAAGTCTTGATTTTAGACGAGTCATCCCAGTAATAAGCAGAGACTCAGAAAAATACAAAATAAGAAAATAGAAGAAAAGCCATTTCAAAACCATATTGATTTTAGTGAAAATCACTTAATTTCCAAGGGTATTTTAAAGAGCATTTCCCTGCATGTTTTGTTTTCATTTTGTTTCTATTTTATAGCTAGCATATTTGAGGAGAACTGAAAAAATTATTTTAAGCATTTTTTATTCTGAAAATTATTAGAATAAAGTTTCAAACCAACGGCACAGAGTTAGTACTGCCTCTGAACACCTAATGGACTTCTCCGAGAGGAATACGGCTAATTGTATGTCCCCTTCGAGAAAATATATGGAATGACAGCACACGCGTGTGAACCAAGGGGCACCGAGAGTAGTGTCCTGTGCCTGTGACGGAGACCGCACGGGGTCGCGCTGTGACACCTGATGCACCTGCATGGAGGCACTGACCCTGTGTCGGATCCCAGAAACACGAATGCGCCATCCAGACCTAAAGGCTGAAATGCCTGGACCGTTTAGACTCAGTCTGTTAGTTATAGGGCTCATGGAGAAAGGCTTCGGAGAGACGCAAAACCATGGCACCCGGCAAGGCCTTCGGGAGTCCGCTGTGTGGATCGGTCCTTTCACCCTGTCGCCCCCCCGAGCCTACAGCGCCTCCTTTACGCACTGACGAACTTCATAAAACCCCACAGTCCACTCACGCAGGGGGTGGGATACGATATAACATCACGCCAGTTATTTGGACACCTTCCTTGGTTACAAATACATGCCAACAAACCAGCATGGAATAGACGGCAACCTTTCCAGGAGAGTATGTGTCTACATTTTGAATCTGAGCACCTAACCCCACACCTGGCACAACTGAAGTACTCAATTAAAATGTGTGGAATGGCCCTGGCCAAGCTGGCTCCGTGGTTAGAGTGTTGGCAGGGCCCTAAGGGTCATGGGTTCGATTCCCGGGCAAGGGCACGTGCCTCGTCGCAGGCTTGGCTGCAGGCTCGATCCCTGGGGTGGCCAGGGCATGTGCAGGAGGCCGCCAGTCGATGTGGCCCTCACATCGGTGTTTCTCTCTCTCTCCCCCTCCTGCCTCCCCTCCGCTCTGTAAAAAAATCAATGGAAAAAATATCCTCGCGTGAGGATTAAAAAAAGAAACACAAAATTTTGTGGAATGAATAAGTGGCTTAATGGATGAATCAGGGATCGATGGTCTGTGGAAAAGCATCACTGCTGAAAACCTACCTCTTCAGAGAAGGGATCGATAGCATCACTTCTGTACAATGAAATACTGCCATTTTAGAAAGCAAGTCGTATTTCTGATTCTTATTTTCAGTCTTTTGTAGCAAGTGCCAGAACTAAAGTATAAGCCACACTAGGGCACAGAGGAGTGCTTTCAAAGCAAGGAGCTTTCAAAAATTCCTCACTTTATAGTAAGTCTGAGAGCTTGGGGATTTCGTTTATAAACACTTCTCTGTCATGTGGTCGACCGGTGTATGACCGCTCCCAGTATCCTGCATGGCAGCCAGGAGACCAGAAAGGGTTACAACTCATGGAAACATACTTGTTTCATAAGGCAATTGATTTGATAATTTTCAGAGCATCTCTAAAGAAGAAAAGTAATTTGGGGCATGAATAGAAACATTTTGCATCCAGAAGTTGACTAAAGTTTAGTTTAACAAATACCAGAGCTTGGATCAATAGATAGAAAACTTTAGCGCTGTGTGTGTGTATGTGTGTGTGTGTCAGTAATAACACCAAAATAACACTCCTGTTCTGAATTGCAGAATGGTCATTTTGTGTCCAAGTGTACCTGCTTTTTTAAGGCCTTATTTGAGAGTGTTGCATTTTAGTCTGAGGTATGTGCTTGACTCCGGCCCTTGCCGTTCTTGCTGCAAAGGCACAATAGGGTATCTTACGACTGTGTCTTTCAGCAAAGTCTCCACCTTGACTCCTGGGAACACTTGAATCTCTAATCACAGGCGCATGAGGATCTATCAGTTTGTGGCTTGTTAAAATCAGTTTTTGCACCTGTGCCCATGAGTCTGCAGCACATACACTCACACGAGTCCTCCTACAGGCTTAGCATAAACTCTCAGCCTTTTCTTTCTCACTACTTAGAAAATAAATAATATTTGTTTTTGGATATGCATAACTAAATATGGTTGTTGTAGCTAAAAAATTCTAATAGTGATTAAAGGCTACCCTGAAAGGACCAAGAAGCAAATCTGTTCATTAGTATCTTTCCAAATTTCTATTGAACAGAATTGTGTGGCAAGTATCAGTATAATTAAGTTGTTCGTTGTGCCTGGGGCATTTCTCCTTGAATGGAAGTTAAAAATGCTTATGCAGTTTAAACACCACAATTACTCATATAAACATAGATAGTTGAACAATTAAATATGTGGTAGGCTGCACCAAAATTAATTATCTAATTACTTTCCTGGGCTCTTGTGCCCATACTCTGGCTACAGCATGTCCATGCTGGTTACTGTCTTCAAGTCTGTATTTCGATGTAGACAATGGTGGCTGCTGAATTTGCAGCACCTCACATATGCCCCTCGAAGGAGTTTCTCATGCACTGTCCTTCAGAGATGGTGCAGATTTTATATTGGGAATGTGGACATGGAGGGCAGTGTCAGAGCTCACAAAGGAGACTCACCTTGATCTAGACCTTCTTATAAATTTTCTCCTAGATGAGAATTTTCCTCCCGGTTTTGCCATGTTGAAACCTCACTGCCCCGTTACCTTGAGCTGATGCGTCAAAAATTACTCTGAGTACTCCAAATGGCCACCTGCTTGACAGAGAAGGGATGCACAATATAAAATGTGTGAGTTTTAATATCAGTAATGTTTATTTATACTGAGAGCTCAAATAGATTCATAATCACAGGAAGAAGAGCATGTACCCTATAAAAAACACCTTCTGTAGAACATAAACTTCAGTCTTCTGGCTTTAATGTTTATCAGCAGATTGAGAAGCCATTTATGGCCCCTCACACCGTCCTTTATCATTTCTTTATTGATTAAGTAGTGATGCCTTCTGGACCTAAGACACGGTTCACTATTTTTCCATTAAAATGAAGAAATGCCTTGTTTGTCGCAGGTCCATTTGAAGCAGTTGGCTCGTGGGAATCTGAGAGATGCCGCCCGTGACGTGTTGGAATTATCATGATCAACTACCCAGTTTGGATTTCTCCCAGTGGCCCAGAGATTTGCATGGTAGACAGCAAGGGTCGGATCTTTAAAAAGAGTAAACCAGGTAAGATTTGAGGGAGACGTCTGATCATTTATCACTTGCTCTACGGGCTTTCGTGTGCTGCCAAGGTGTATTGAATAAGTTATAGCTTTTCCAATTTTCTTCTAAGTCCACTGAATGGGTTGTTAAAGATTGGCGATCCCTTGGACTCAGCAAAATGTATATATAGTAATAATTGAGTCCCCTTTTTGTCACGGGGAAAGAGCAGTCCTTTAAAAATACATATAAAGCAGACACAGGAATGCTGTGGATGCTAGTTTAATGCAATAGCCAATAACTGCAAGCAGTAGAGACTTCCTCTTTCAGGAACTACTCTAAACCACAGTGCAATAAACAGTTATACTTTTGAAGGTGCAGAAGAGAATGTGTTGCCATTAAGTATTTACTTATATTATAGAAATGTATCAGTTCATAGCATGTGATCTTATAAATATCAAGGGTTACTTCAGTTTAGAAGATTACACTATTATTCTGGCTTTCATTTCTTTGAAAGTGTTTATCATTCTCTAAGTAGTATTTAAAACGGTGATACAATGACATACTCTATTGTTATTGTGGCTTCTAAACTTTAAAATAGTACACTCTTACTCAGGTACTCTTTTTCTCTACTTTGGTTTATTGCATTCTAGAAACAATTCTCAACTACTGTGTATTAACCATAGTTTGATCAGATCCTCTTATCTTTCTCTTTAACTCTTTTCCTCCTGTATAACATAATTTAAGTTTGTTATCAACAATTACCTGAGAAACCACAAGTTATTCTTGTCCTCTGACTTTCAGACCATTAAAGCTTTAAGGCTTCTTTGAATTGTATGCATTCCAAAGCAAGATTTTCTTTTGATATCAGTTATAGAAACAAAATATATATAAGTAAACTCATGAATTTAGAAAACAGTAACGGAAGATTATGCTGGGTCACTTGAACTTTTTAAGGATTTTTACAACTAGTTTTCTTATTTTCTAAAAATAAACTACATGGAACTTAGTCAATAAGTTATCGCCTAAGATAACCATTTGGATATAGACTACAGCTTCTAAAGTATTTGAAAACAATTGATTCTCTAAAGTTTCACTTCCCAATTCCCTAAAGACTGACTTGTTCATAAGATCACTTCTCATGAGAGTACACAACTCAAATAGTCACAACATTCAAATTTGTTGGAAAAAGTATAGATCACCAAACTCATGGCAGAAATCCTTATTTGATGAGCTGAGTTAGTGAATGATGGTTTGTCCTGTTAAGTGGCAAGGCGGGTTATCCACATTTAGAAGAGCTCTGCCAGTCTGTCAATAAAAGGGACATTGTTACACAGATGCATTTGTGGGATAAAGCTCAACCTAGTTCCATGCTTCATAGCATTAGTATCTGGCAAATAATTATAGCAAGAATGCTTCACGATGAACTTCCATATGGCTAAGCTCTTAAGTCTTATTCGCCGAGTCCAAAATAATTTCATCCTGGTGATGTTTATTTCAATATTTTGAACAAAATTGGATTCCATGTTAAAAACCGTACTTAGAGCCAGGCCCACGTGGCTCAGTGGCTGAGCATCAACCTAGGATCCAGGAGATCACGGTTCGATTCCTGGTCAGGGAGCATGCAGGCTCCATCCCCAGTAGGGGGCGCACAGGAGGCAGCCGATCAATGACTCTCATTGATGTTTCTCTCTCTCTCCATCTCTGAAAAAAATAAAAATATATTAAAAACAAACAAGCAAAAAATGTACTTAGAACAGGAATGGGGGGAAGGGAGACAATTAAATCTAGTTTAAAGGTAAATCATCATGTGATAATGCAGTTATTCACATTTATTGATCTCATCACAAAACACTCTCCTCTGTTTGTCAGATATATATTTTTATCGTTTAGAATAATTTATCTTTCTGATTTGTATAAGTTATCAATAGAGAAAAGAAGGTACAAGTATTTTTGACCCTAGTATTAAGAAACATAGTTCCTCTTTTTTTCATAGTTTCTTGAAGTGAATCCTGTTGGCCAGAAGCACAGAGAGAGCAAATGCCACTGTCCTGTATGAAAACATAGGGTTTTGAAAGGCCCCCTGCGCATAAAAGACATTGAAGTGAATTCGTATACTTTCCTGGTTAAATATATGTGAATTCATATATTTTATTTTAAAATGAATAGAAAATTTATATACTACAGCTTTACAGTTTATATTAGTTTTAAGTTCATGTTTGTTCTTTGTTGTAAGAGTGGCAGGTACATTTTTGATGCTGACGCCTGTTAGATTTTTTATAAAGTAAAAAGAGTGTCAAGATTTCCCAATTCTGTTTCTCAGAAGCTTATAACAAAGCCACAAAAATGTCTAGTGTTCTACAGCTTAAAAGCAATTTTTTCTCTTAAAGCATTTTTAAAGAAAAAGTTAGCCCACCTCAGGATTACATTACTGTATGCTCGTACATAAAAGGAATTTTAAGACAGGTATTAACGGTGAGATTTTTCAGAGCACTGCTGATGATAGCGTGGCCCACGTCCTGGGACAGGCAGTCCCCAAGGCGGTTCATGAGAAACATGAAAGTAGCACCTGTGTATGTAGAGTGTCCCTCGCTCTTTTCAGGGAGCAGGGAACGTTCTCACCTGTGCAACTCATCTCCTCCTGAAGTCTTCCGAGAACAAACCTTGAGAGCTAGTGAGGTAGCTGATTCCATTATGAAAAGTCTCATGTGAGCCTTAAATACCTTTTGGCTGCATATTTGTTTACTCTCCAGACATTGGTTGAATGCCAACCGTAGGTAAGGCAAGTAGGTGGCCAGAAACCAGTTAGCGCCCTTCCTGCCCTGCCCTCAAGTGGTGCACGCTCACAAAGTAAAACAGGCATGTAAATAGCTTACCTCGGGCAAAATGAACTGAACATTTTAATGAGTTTCCACCAAAATTTTCCAGAAGCTAAGATGAAGGGCTGTTAAAATAGATGAAAGTATTAGAAGGTCCTGGAGGCCTAAGAGGCATTTCAGCTGCACAGCTTAAAAGTGGGGAGAATTTTTAGTGATGGGAAATAGGTGAGAAAGCATTGCAGGCCCAGGGCACAATCTGGCGAAGTCCCCGAGAGGTAAAGATAAATGTTATATTTGGAGAATGGCACTTGACACTGGAGGGCGGGAGGAGGGCGGGCGGACAGGGAAGGGCGGGACTGGGCAGTTTGCATGCCCGGCTGTGTCACAATATGAGAGTGATGTGATATGATTTATACTCTAAGAAGATGATTCCGGCAGAGGGTGGGGCGTGGGCAAGGCAGGTATTGGCAGGCAGAAAAGACGACCAGGGGCATTCAGCAAACACGCAGTGTAGAAACGCCGCCTGTTTCTCTGCGGGACCAGGGGGGACGGCTCCTGCCCGTCGCGGATTCTGCGCGTCTCCGCTAAACGCTGACTCAGTGAGTGTGTCTCGGGGATAATCAGGGAACTTCTGCATTCGCAACGTTTCCTTTTTTAGAAATGCTCTGGAAACNGCATTCAGCAAACACGCAGTGTAGAAACGCCGCCTGTTTCTCTGCTGGACCAGGGGGCACGGCTCCTGCCCGTCGCGGATTCTGCGCGTCTCCGCTAAACGCTGACTCAGTGAGTGTGTCTCGGGGATAATCAGGGAACTTCTGCATTCGCAACGTTTCCTTTTTTAGAAATGCTCTGGAAACTCTTCATACATGGGATGAAAGTAATTTAACGTACGCGTTTCCCGGCACACACACGGGTATACAAACACACACAGACGCGCGCTAAACTCTCCCAGTGTGTGCTTGAAATGAAACCTCAGATCCTGTTCCTGAAATTTATGCTTCAATTAAGATGGGGGCAGCTGCTACCCTTCTTTATTTCCCTTTTGAGACCTGTATCTCTCAGGCTCTACCCTTCCCTCCGTAGTTTTATCAGCACATCAATCACGGGGCCTGTCTCCTGGGAGCGCAGCAGGCATGGCCCGCGCAGCTTTATGGCTGGAAAACAAACCCACCCTCCTTGGCATACAGGGCTTGCTTCAACCTGGTTAAGTCACTCTGCCGAAAATATCACGTCCTTTCCATCACCGCACACATTTGGTCAGAATAACAGGGGACACTTTAAAGCTTGGGAAATAACTCGGGAACAGAGCCCGAGAAAGGCACAAGACGAATGAAAGTGAACTTCAGCCCAGCCTCCTTTGGCACAATCCTCTAACGAGCCGGGCGCATTAACACCTCTGCGGGAGGAGGCATCTGACTCACAGCGTCCCTCTCTCTCCAGTTATTTCATTGAAAATTGCCCTTGTCATACGTTCCCCAGTAGTACACCAGACTCATCATTTTCTAGGATTGAATCACCTATTTTCAGAGAAGTTCTCTCACAGTCTGGGAAAAAATCCAACCGTCTCTTTCTAAACGAGCATACTTAGGGAAATGTAGCTGTGACTCACCAACATGCAATATCCTTGAGACCAAATCTTTGTCTTTCTNTGTCTCTTTCTAAACGAGCATACTTAGGGAAATGTTCTGTGACTCACCAACATGCAATATCCTTGAGACCAAATCTTTGTCTTTCTTATCTGAGACCTTAATTACAGAGCTGCGCACGTATTCAATAAATGTGTCTGACTGGGAAATGAAAATCAAAACTTGTGCCGCAGATCCAAATCATAACTCGTGTATTTTTAACAGTAGGAAATATCTCTGTCTTTTGTGAGGGGCCAATTTGGTGTTTAATTCATCGTGTTCATTGTTAGATCAAGGATATCTTATCTTCTTATAGGTTGCTGCCATTATTTAGTAACAGATATTTTTTTAATATGTTTTTTATTGGTTTTAGAGAGGAAAAGGGAAGGAGAGAGAGAGAGAAACATCGATGAGAGTGAAAGGTCCTGGATCCATCGGCTGCCCCCTGCTGGGGATGGAGCCTGCACCCCAGGATGTGCCCTGACCAGGAATCAAACCAGCGACCTCTTGGTGCATGGGTCAGCCGGTGCTCAACCACTGAGCCACACCGGCCGGGCAGTAACAGATACTTTTAAATCACATA